GGGGGGGGGGGATGGGCCCGCCCGGTCTAGGCCTGTCCTCCATCGGCCGTTTTGCTTGTATGACGGAGAATAAGAAGGTGGAATTACTTGAAATTCGTATAGAAATAAAGTTTGTGTATCTAAATCGAAAATAAAACGGCCGATGGAGGACAGGCCTAGCCCGGTCACGGAACAACGTGCCGCCGCCCTTTGCATTTTTTTCGAGAGCGCGAGCGAGCGAGCATGCACGACGAGATTTTCGCGCCTAAAGGCAACAGCCGTCGCCCGCCCCCGTAAACGTACAGTTCGAAGCGAGTGCTGCACTTTGTTAGCATCGAGCGCGTCATGAGCCGGCTGGCCAAATGGAGATCGCTAGTCTCAAGTGTGTCGTTCTGTTGTTGTCGCTTCGGCCACACCGCATGTATGTACGACCCCCAACGAATGTGCGTCCCGTGTCTGCTGGTGCTGTTGCCTGTGGGCTTTGGTAAGAAGGTCTACGGAGACTCGGGTCGCCGTGGTTTGGATATAATTGAGGGTGTGTCTTTATGGCTTGGATGATGCATGGGATCCTATGTCTTGGACTCTCATGTGACACTCCTTATGTCTGTGTTCACGGCTAATGAAAGTTTTTTTTTTATGTCCCTTTTTTGTTGGTTCCGTGCCCCCTTTCTTGCAGGCGGCGGATACCCCCAATACCGCCACCGGGGCTAGGAGCGCTGAACTAGAGGAAGAGGGCGGAGGCGGGCACGAACTAATAGATTACTGCTGTGCGCGTTGGAATTGAGGGGGGGCTTCGAGTGCCGGGGGAAGCGCTTGAAGCCTTGCTGGTGTTCGAGACCTCGCGCGGACGAGAAGCAAGGGGGTGCGGTGGATGATGCGCGCCCGGGGGAGGGGGGGGTACAACCATCGGCCGACAACCTTTTTTCTTGGAAGCGGACTGGCTCCTTCAAATGGTCTGGTGATTGGTGATTGGATGAGGATAATTTGCGAAGCCAAGAAGCGGTGCAAGCCCTGCCTGCCCGCGGTAGGCAACGAAACGGTCCGGCGCCACGGGACTGTCGGGACGGCGGACCGCACGTGCTTTGAAACCGGAAAAAGCTCTCCCGCCTGGAGCGAGTCACAAGTAGTTTTATTATGTTCTTGTTTTGTCTTGGCTGTGGGAGTGTCTATTATTTCAGCACCAAGTACGAAAATTTAGGTTAATTGTATGGTTGAGAGGGCACGGAGCGAGGAGGTTTAGGTTTCGATAGCCTGTTCAGGCAGGCTTCTGTTGTGTCCCCCCCTTGACCCGGTTGTTGTTTCGTGCACCGTCGTCGACGCCCAAAACGAATGCTCGAAATCTGTGTCGCTTGCATAAGCCGGGGTATGCCCTTTTTTCTTTCTCGAGTATTGCAGGGCAGTACACTCAGAGGGCAACAGGTGAGTTGGGCGGGTGCGTCACAAAAGAGAACCGCGCCTGTGACGGGTGATCAACGGCAGCAATTAGACGTACATATGGCGATTTGGTCTGTCGTTCTACTTTTTATTAGATTTGGTGACCGGCATAAAGAGCGAGCCGTACATTGTATCTAGCTCGGTCGGTTTGCAGGCAGCACGCGGCCTCGGTTTCGGGGGTGGTTTGCATTCACATTTGTACAGTGCGCGGGCCCCCCGCGGGTTTATGCTTTCTTGAGTTTGGACGCGGGGAAGACTCGAAAGCAGACTCGTTGTTGCGGTGCTTTGCCCCCCCCAGCAGCAGCATGAAACAGCAGCATCGATATACCATCTCCTCACACGTTGGCATGTAAAGTAATTAGTCTAGTGATGTACGTGGCGTGACGAAGCTCTTCGGAAGCACGCACCGGCTTTATTTCCCTTCTTTTTTTTCCAAGGAGACTTCGAGGGCAACGAGGAGTTTCTGTATTTGTTGTGCAGAGACCACCACAAACACTCACTCTCTCTCAGGTCGTCTTCATAGGGTAGGTTGTTTTCTTCGCGTTCCGTACTGTGACCCGCCGCAATAACATGCTACAGGCCGGTTGTTTATCGTAGGTACCGTAGATTCCAGGGTGCGTAGTTTCAAAACAACTCTAAAGTGGCTCTCACGAGGAATATCGAGCTCTTAGCGCAGTTCACGATCGGGGCGTGGTTGTTGTTGTTGTTGTTGTTGTTGTTGTTGTTGTTGTTGTTGTCTTCACATTAAAAACCATCCCGGTCTCTCTATCCAGTACCTCCTTCTGTCTCAATCTCTCCGTACTAATCCATCACTTGACTCGGCCAATTTCCGTGGTCACAGGCTAACGTACCTAGAAAAGGTATACCAAAATAAAATGGACCCCAAGGGTCAGCAGAGCGATAAAATACAAGAAAACAAAATATAATCAGAAACAAATAAAATAAAATAAAATAAATAATAAGACTAGTGGAACG